TTTTTTTTTTTTCAGTTGGCTCCTTACGATTTGAATGAGCGAATAAATACATATAAAGTAGCCAAAATCTATTAATATATAATAAGGATTAACATAATTCAGTTTTAAAAACTTTTAGCCGCCAATTTCATTAATTACTTGCTAAAAAAAGATATTTACAACAAATTGGGCACTTATTTATTTTAGAACTGATTGTTGAACCGATATGGAATCAATCCTAAGAAACATTTGGGATCCATTTCCCGTTTTTTGTAGAGGAATAACAATTATTATCTTAGCAGTGATCAAACTCAAAATCAGTATAAATCTCCCTAATCAAAATCCATATCAATTCTAAGAAATACTTGCCGATTGACCCATTTCCTTTTTTTGTGGAATCTGCCATAAAATTTGTTTCATTATCATCATCATCACATCTGATCAAAGAAAACATATAAGAATAAAACCGTCAACATCACAAACAAAAGAATAAAACAATTTAACACCAATATTATCCAACAAATTGTATTTCATGCTTAATATTAATTTAGTAGATATTACCTCATATATTTTATAAAATCAATTCGCAATAACACATATTATAACTTCATTATCAGAAAATTAAATTATCTATATATATAATAAGATAATATTAATTCATTTTTAGAAATCATTTCCCGTAAAAAAACATTAATTACCTAGATGGAAATAAAATAAATAAAAAATAAATCATTATTGCATAGTTTCCATATAACTTGACATTCAAGTTGTGTTTGTTTTTGTCAATTCTTGATTTATTTTAATTATGTTGACAGTTGTTTTGTAGGAAAAGATTATGTACATAATTATGTATGTGTGATTTAAAAAATTTTTAGACATGTTTTACTTACAAAATAATTTAGAAAATTTTTAGGTAACCTCACTTTTTTTTAAGAATAATACATAATATTTTAGATAATCTTACATATGTTATATAATATTTTTGCTGTTTTTAATATTTTAAACATACATGATCAATTTTCTTTTTAACAAGATAAAAAGGTATAAAAATATTAGTAAATATTATTTAGCTAATCAAGTATAATCGATATTAAAATGATAAACTAACAACCAAATAAATTATCATATTATAAAGAGATCCATCTTAGGGTCCCATTTGAGTTTACCAAGTCCTTATGATCTAACCATTCCATCAGTGCCAGTATTTTTGTATAAAAAAGTATGAAAGTATTAGTTATAATATTTATCTAATCAAGTATGATCGATATTAAATGATAAACTAACAGCTCATTTGTAGAACTGCAAATTAGATTATTATATTATAAATAAATCCATCTTAGGGTTCTATTTTAGTTCCAGCAGCACCAACTCCTTCTGTTATTAGTGTTTCATTTAAGTGTCAAGATCAGTCTTTATCGTGGGTTGACATATTCTTAAAGAAATCGGTATTTAGTCACGTCTAATTAAATGTTGTTGTTTTGCGTGTAAGTAATTGATGAAGAAGAGTTTGGTCAGTCATTATTATGCAGTGTATATTTTTAAATAAATCAATTTTAGTGACGATCAATTATATGTTGTTCCGCGTGTAAGTGATAATAAATGATTGGAAATATTAGTTTGTTGGGACAACGACTTTTCGAGTTAACAGGTTTTTAATAATATATATTTTATTATTTAACAATTTCACTATGAATTATCACTCTTTTATTTATTAATAAACTTTAATTTATAATATTTTTCAAAATGAATAACGCCCGTGTATCGCACGGGGTACATACTAATAAAGCATAATGTGGCTATAGATTTATTTTTTTTTAAAAAAAAAATCAGAAATGAAATCAAGTATGCTCATCTCAATCGAGAGCCAAAAAGACATCATAACACAATCATGCTTATGCTTATTCCTCTTCCACTGTTCCGCATTATCACTATTTTGGACTTCATCTTTAACCGAACAATTCTCTTGCACATCCTTACAAGCTAGAATACAAATAATAACAATGAAATTGAAATTAACCAACTCATAAAATTAAAGCATTGGAAGGACAAAGGTATAACAATAGAATGAATAATAAATTAGTAAAAGACTAAATATAATATTTTTTGTTCTACCTCACCTTTAGTCAATATATAAGACAATGGAACATTGAGATACATAATAGTGGTATGATCACATCTTGTATAAAACCGTAGACTCTATTACCCAAGTCAAAGCTTGTATTTTATTTATTTGATAGAAAAGCAAAACACGCACCATTCTAGGAGAAGCATGGTGATGAGTAGAATCATCTTTCTAATTCACATGAAAAGCTCAGGATCAAGACTGATATAGTATATTATACCCACAAGGTTAAACCGGCTTATTGACCGGTCGAGAAGGTCATACCGTGGGAAGTCGAGGAAATCGAGCAGTTAACTAGTCGACCAACCTACCCTTCAACCAGATGGACGGTCGAGCAGTGCAGTCGACCTCGATTGGTCGATCACTTCGCGGACTGAACACCTCATAGATCGGCATAGTCACAGGCGCGTGAGAGAGCTCATAACCAAATTTCAGGAGAATATTTACCCCATGTGCAGGGGAACACGTGTCGAGAATGCAGTGGTTGATAGCGGTAACCACCTCTGACAGCCTACCCCATGTGCAGAAGGACACGCGTCCAAAGAATATTGGTGCAGGCGATAGTGGTGACGGCTACCTCTAACACATGCGTATTGTGTGTACCCCCGGTGTGAGAGTTACTTGCAGGTTTCCGATGTTCTACCAGCGAGGACGAGAATCGATCTATTCCGAACCGGACCAAGGCGTTCACGCT